GGGCCCTCTCATCCAGCAACTCCTTCCACATCAGTAAACTTCACCCCACTACACAGCTTCGTAATGAACCCGCTTAGACATAGGGAGATTTCTCTCCTCGTACCCGCACCAACTGATGAGAAGACTCTGGAGAAGGTGTTAGCGAAGGAGCAATTCAAGTCGGTCTGTGTGGGAGGACCTCAGTCGGAATTTGATAGTACTGAAAGTGGAGATTCTATTCTCTTGGAGATCAGTGACAAGTTAAAATGGACTGAACTGTGTGAGCATACGCCAGAGATGCTGGTAACGAAAGCTGGGAGGTGATTTGTGCATTTTGTCTATGTATAGTTTACGAATTTTTAATAAATAGCATTCAAAATCGAAACAATGCATTGACATCAGTGTCGAGCATCCTGAGTGCTTCAGAACTTAATGAGATCGTCTCAATTCTTTAATTTTTAGACGGATATTCCCCGCCTTGTCAGTTACAGTGACGGGTCTTGATCCGGACTCGTGCTACACATTTTTAATTGACCTGGTCGCTGTCAACCAACGCACCATGAAATGCGACGCCGATGGCTGGCGTGATGGCCCAATTGCGGCTCCGTATCCTCCATATGACAAAACAAGTAGGGCAATTGATCTTAGCTACCTGTTTAATTCTCAAAAGCGCCTAATAGTACTAATTTGCATTTTCTAGAGCCACTTTTCTACGTTCAAGGCGCTTCACCACAACCTGGAGCACACTGGATGCAAAATGGGGTTGATTTTTCGACTGCAAAGATAACCCACAATAGAGATGCTCATCAGCACCAAAATATGGTATGTCATGTCGTGTCATGTTACTGATTAATGACAGAGCCAAAGTCGATCGGATTAAGGAAATGCATTGGAAGCCAGTGCCACAAAGTCTGCACCTAAGTTAGCAAATACGAGTCATAATTGGCATTGGTGACATGGCGACGTGTAGTCACGACCATTAGCAGTAAGCAAAGATATTGAGCATAAAAATACACCTGTTGCCATTTCGCACCTTGACAACCATCCATGGAGGCGCAAATCTACACTCCTGCTAACATCAGCGAGGTAGCCTTCATGGTGGTAAACATCCTTCGAAAGTGATGATTATGATTGATGATTAGGATT